AGCCCTCTGGGATGCCAAGTGGCTCGGAAAGCCTTCAAAGTAGTGCCAGATGCCACAGATCAACTGTGACACTTTCCACTTTCTGAGGCTTCAGACATTTTATGCAGACTCACAGCCCCCACCCTAAGATAAGGCCCAGGCTTTGGCGACACGCACAGCACACTGATACTGGAGGGGCGCCCTGGAGTGGCAAGAAAACCAGAGGGGAAGGTGGTTTCTCCCGTCTGCCCTTCCTCTTTAAAATCACAAGGGGTCACTCTCAGACCAGAGACCAAAGCACAGCAACTGCTTCCAAGGCAATTTCTCCAAGTTCACAGCTGGCCCTAAGCTAAACTGCTCTCGGATGCTTACATCTAATTGGTTTCAAGTGGTTCTCACATCTGAGGCTCACCCTGAAAATAACAAGAACACCTGATACATATACACACGTCAGTTCATTCATTTCCTCACCAAATATTTATGCCTACTGTGCGCCAGGCCCTGGGAACAAAGACAGAAAGCTCCATACTCTCTATCCAGCACAGATGAGACCTGCAGACAGCAGTGGGCCCCGAGCCAGACTGGCCAGCTTCAAATTCCACTCTGTCACTACTGAGCTGTGAGAACTTAACTTACACCCTCTCTGTGTGCCTCAGTTCCCCAAGCTGTAAAATGAGGATAACCAAAGTATCTAAATTGTAGGGCAGGATCAAATGAATTAACACATGTGAACAGCGCTTGCCACCTAGTAGATACTACACAAATGTGTTGTTTGAATCATAGCTCCTCAGAGTCACGAAAGCTTACCCCCCCCACCCCCACCCCCCGCACCCGGCCAACAAAGCTGTCCAGAGGAAGGAGCAGAGTCCCCAGCACACGGGACCCATGCAGCCACAGGGAGCAGTTGTCTCCTTCTGTTTGAGCTTTCCCTGAGCTGAGGCTGGCTTCCTTTCCGGTCTGCAGACTCCCAAGATGCCCCAGGGCCAGCCCAACCCAGCCCACCTGTAAAAAGTCACAGGGCAGAGCAAGGATGGTAGGACCTGGAACAGATCCCAGGGCACATGCGATCTACTCCCCAAGCACCACCTGTTCTTGTCCCCACTGCTGGGGCTCTCATGCCTTTCCTAAGTTTTAACAACAACTTCCTCTAACTGAACTGTTAACTTCCTGAGAAGTGCCCCACTGGTTGGTTTCCAGTGGCGCTTATACTCATCAACTCCTGAAACCTTCATAGGAATCCTGGGGATCTGGCAGGACACACAGGACAGGGGAGCAAACTATGGCTCAGTCTGGCCTCTCAGTCAAGTGCCTTCACCATACCAAGCTCCATCTTGGGCCTTTTCTCCTCCAGGCTGAGCACTCAAGATGGGTCAACAGCCCTTTCTCCATCCTGGCTATGATTCAGTTTGTCAATGTCCCTCTTAAAGCTGTATCATCTTCTTTTTGCAGATGGGCAATGGAGGTGCTGCAAGGGAGAGTCCTGCACATGGCTGAGGCTACACCAGGAGTTAGGTTAGAGGCTCCTGTGCAAGCAGCAGGCTCTCAGTCTATCCTGGTCAACGACATCAAGATGATTAACAAGATCAGACAATGACTCAAGCCTGCTGGGGGGCTCAAGAGTTGGAAGGACAAGGCCCTTTCCTAACCATCTCCCCTACAGAAGGGTCACCTTTCTACTCTTCTGCTTTGTGACTACATACACCCAAACATCCAAATAGATCACAACCTGTCCAGTTCTTAGAGAAAGATTCTGGGCGACTTCACGACTTCCTTCTGAAATCTAAATCTACACAGTCATCAAGGAAGGAGCCTTAAAAGAATCTTCCAGTCCAAATGTTCTTAAATACACACTAAACCTCTTGGCAAGGGACTCATCAGCCATCCACCCTGCTCTCTCAGAGGCAGGGGCAGGACAGGGGTGGCGGTGGTGGTGGTGGGGGGTGTGTGTTCCAGGCAGAGGGCAGCATGAGCAAAGGCATAGAAGCAGGAGGTAGCTGGTGGGGTTCAGGGCCACCAGCACAGCACTGGCTTGAGCAAGTCTGAGCCAGGAAGGTAGGAGATGGAGCCAGGATAGGGCAGGTGAGCCTCCTTTTCCACTCCATCTGCCAGGAGAGGCACAATTTGGGGATTCAGTCAGGTTTCTTAGGGTGGGGGACTGTGTGGAAGGCACACTGCAGGGATGTGCTGGAACAACCTGTGGTCTTCAGGTCAAAGAGGTCAATGATGGTCAACAATGGCTTTGACCCTAAGCAGGTGGCATCACAGAGGAGCCCTTGTGTGTCCAGTTCCAGCAGAGATACTCCTTCAGGGCACGATGCCGTCCTGCCAGGGACTGCTCCCTGCCAGGAGGCATAAAAGTACCAGAACACCAAGGACCAGAGTTCTGATGAGCAGAAAGCCAATGCGCAGGGCAACCGTAAGCAGGCAAAGCCCTAATGGTCAACTGACAGCTGTGTTAGAGCAACCACAGACAGCACACAGAATATGGTCATTTGGGGGAACACAGAGCACAATGGGGGGTTGCTCCCTCCCCAAGCTAGAGGGAACATGACTGGTGGCAGAAAGCAAGACCAGCCTACAATTTCAGTGGACGGGTGGGTGATGTTTGTACTGGAATATCAGCCACTTACAGTGAACAAGGGTCCTCTTCAGTGAGATCTGCTAGGTACACATTTGCAAAGTGGATGAACAGCATTCCTATGGCTTGTTTGGAAGTGTCTAAAAACCTGCACAAAATAGGATCAGCACTTGTTATCACCCCAACAGGAGGGTAATATCCAATTTAGGGGAAATGAGAAGTCTGAAACAGGAAGAAAGCTAGCAGGGAGATCTCAACTTCCCCATTACTAGTCACCTCTTCCCCCGGCATCAGCACTAACTCAGGCTTGGCATCTCGGCTACCTTTTGAACCCTTCAATAACACTAAAAGGCCACTGATGTATAACATCATAAACACTGTATAAACCCCTAAAAGGCCACTGATGTATAACACATGTTTAAACATATATTTAAATTAGGTGTGTTTACTTTTTCATTTTTTGTTATTTCAAAATGCTCGACCATAGCTTCACGATGAAGTCCAAGGTGCCTCTGTTTTAAAGAGCTCCCATTCAACCTCACTCAGAGCTAAATGCTGTGCAAGACTAACAAGACGCCCAAATCCAGCACTGCAGCTCAAACTCTAACGACTTCTGGCTGCTGCCATTTATGCCCTGGGCTAGCCTGGGGTGGACAGATATTTTCTGTAAAGGGCCAGAGAGTAAATATTTTAGGCTTTGCAGGCCACTGTTTGCAGCAACTGGTCACCCCCCCCCCCCCTGCAGTGTGAGAGCAGCCGTAGAGCCCTCCATTCTTGCAACCCTTTATGAAAATGGACAGCGTGCCAGATTGGGCCTGTGGGCTGTAGTTTGTCAACTCTTGGGCTAGATGGCAGGGTGTTCGTTCTGGAGACACCATGTTGCCCCATCCATGAGGGGTCTTTAGTTTCTCCCCTGCCACGAACACCTGGAAACCACAGGTAGTCTTTGGATTGCAGTCAATCTCCTGGTCTCCCAGGCTGGGCATCCAGGGTTGGGCTAGGCCACTGAAGGGGGTGGTGAGGGGCACACAGGCATGGACCATCAGCCTTGGGGTCTTAGGGCTGAATGGACTTTGGAGATTATCCAGACCAACCCCATGACTGAAGCTTAAAAATCATTTCCTGAAATAATGGCAAAGTAGAAATCCCCCTCCAAAGGACAATGTGTGCCCCACAGAGTGCCCCAGCTCCAGACCCTCCCCAGGTCCCCCAGCCCAAGCTAGATACCCAGATTCAAGAGAAACCGACCGGGGAAAATAAAAACAAGAATGATCAACATTCACAAATAATGCACTGCAGATCAATAAGGAGATGCTTAAAATGTTGTAAAGGGCCTTTATCACAGTGATTTATCTGACGTCTTCTCCGGAGGGGAAAATGGCTATTTTGTTAGCACACCTGCAAGCCTAACACAGCCCAAGAAAGTCAGCTTCTTGTGGACATGTTGTTCCGAAGAACTGGCTGTCACCTTATTTTCTGGAGTTTTGTCTTTGGAAGCCGTGTCTGAAGCTTTACCCTCCTTTTATGAAGGAAAAACTGCTACCACAGGGTCATCCTAGGACTAGGAAAGACTAGTTTTGGGGAGAGAAGCATATACATGGTATATCTGAGTAATCTCCAAATATAGATAATGTTCTGCTCACACACACAGACTACAGAATCTGAGGATTTATCACAATCTAACACCAGGGAGACATAATTAAAGGGACTTGCAGCACACAGTGATATATCTGTCTGATCCTCCGTTTTCTAAAACTGGCCAGCAGTGTGATGATAGAATAAAGGCAAAGCTCAATGTTATCTGGAGAAATAGAAATCTTTCATATTATTCGTAGTTCCTAATGATTGATTCAACTAAGGGATCCTAACACTTTATGTTCTGGAGAACCGCTCACATTGCCCCCTGCCCTCCCTGCAACTAAACCCCAAATAGCCCATGGCATTCTAGGAAGGTGTTAATATTTAAATACGCACCATATCCTCCACGGCCGTCTCTCATGCTTTGGCTCTCTGAAGCGCTTGACTGGAAGAAAACACACACCATTCAGCGGCTTTCCACAGCGACAACGAAGCAAAATGCATTCAACAAGTGGGGTTATCAGTACACTCAGGGTTGACACTACTAAGTTAAGGTACTTGTTCTTTTAACATGTGCCAATGCACAATAAGCTGTGAAGGTCACAGAGGCCCCAGGCCCTGCACTGGCTGCTGACCAGTACAGACTCTTCAGAACTGGACACTTATGAAGAAAGACTCCTCACAATGTGTGGGAAACTGTGTTTTCTTCTCTTTTGTGATGAGGTTCTCTCAGGGCCTGGAAACCACAAAGTGGAATGCAGCTACCTCCAACTTCAGAATTTGCTCTACATGATGACAAATCCATTCACCCACCCATCTAGTGGCTGGGCCACTAGCCAGGCACTGAGACAAAGGCGAAGGCAGCTGTCCAGCAGGAGGGCAGGCACGCAACCATATAGTGAGGCAAGTGCTAGAGAAGAGGTATGTCTGAGGCAGAGTGAGGGCATGAGGGAAGGATGACCACGTCTGCCTGCCTGGGAGGGCCTTGGTCAGGAGATACTTCACTGGTGCGAGGCGGCCAACCCAGGTCCTGAAGGTTAGCAAAGTTGAGCGAATGGACCAGGGAGGGGACAGAGCACACACCATGAGCTCATAGGTGCAGGGACATAACACGGCAGACAAATGGAGCAGAAGCCACATGACGGAGGGTCTTGAATGCCAGGCTAAGGAACCTGGAATGAATTCATAGGGAAGGAAAAGCCAGGGCAGAGTGCTAAGCAGAGTCAAAGACATAGTTGGGATCGTGTTTTAGAAACATGGTTCTGAATCATGTAGATGGTGGGTTTCTGGGGCTGGAGAAAATGCTGGCTGAGCCCTAGCACCAGGCGGGGGTGCTCCTGGCTACAGAACAGCCAGCGGGGTGGGGTGCTCCTTCACCAGCAGGTCGACCTCAAAAGGCAAAGGACCGCCCAAACTGGCACTTTCACCTTGGGTCTGCAGACTGTCTCCACGGGTCTATCCCCTGACACAAACACCGAAAGTGCTGCATGTGTGATGTCGTCCCTCACAAAAGTACCAAGGAAGAAACACCACAATGCAAGCCTATGGAGGGTCCTCGTTACTAAGGCAGTGGGTGAAAACCAACAGCAGAGCTCCGAGTTGCCAATGAGCATGCAGGAGGAGGACACAGGGAGGGAGAGCTTGGTGCCCGAATCAACCGACACTGCTACTTTAAATGAAAACAGGCAGTCTGCAGTCTGCAACGCAAGGACTACCTGTACACAGAAACAAAACAGGTATGGTGTTCAGAGAGACATTTTGATAGACCAACAAGCAGGAGGAATTGTAAGGACGTCTGTCACTCTGCTGATACATCACAGATCCCCAAATGTCAACAACATCAAAGAATCTGGAGGTGGGGCCAGGAGGTTCTGCTGGCCCAAAAGGTTCTCAAAGGCAGGGGTCTCCTCCCCACAAGTACCCAAGTCTCACTGAGGGCCTGGGTGCTGGGGGATGGAGACGCAGAGGAAACTGGGCCAGGAGAAAACAATCTGGAGGGAAAGCCCCCAGTCAGGACCAGGGCCACTTCATGGGCGTTTGTGCTTCTGCCTCAGGGGCCTCTGTCCTCATCAGTATAAAATAAACATGTCCTGAGGGGCAGCACCTTCTCATTCTGAGGAGACACATGCTCAAGTACCAGGATGGCTGCAACTCACTGGCAGTTAGTTTAGGGAAAAAATTACACCTTATATAATCATATAAAGTAACTACATATTACACAGGGTGTAATTATAACACATTGTAATAAACACAATCTCAGTAATTATGTAATAAACCTATTATTTATATTAATATGACACATAACATATGAACGGAGGTAAATGTGGTGTCATGGGAAAAATTGTATCCTCACTCCCTGAATTCACGCTGGGAGAGTTCCTAACCCCCAGTACCTCAGAATGTGGCTGTAGTTAGAGAGAAAGTCTTAAAAGAGGGAATTAAGGTAAAAGGAGGTAATACGGGTGGGTCCTATTCCAACATGACTGGTGTCCTTTTACAGAGAGATTAGGACCCACACAGACTGAGGGGCGATCCTGTGAGGTGCCATCTGCAAGCCAGGGAGAAAGGACTTGGAAGAATCCGATCCTGCCCACATCTTGACCTGGCACTTCCAGCCTTCAGACCTGTGAGAAGAGAAATTTCTGGTGTCCAAGCCCTCCCGTCTGTGGTACTTTATGGCAGCCCTAGCACACTAACACGTGTGGCAACACAGTAGTTGGAGAACCCAGAGGAAGGCTATTTGAGTATTCACTAAATTACTATTTAGATTTTTCTGTAGGTTGAACATTCAAAAACAATTGTTTTATGTTTATTTGAGAAAGAGAGAGAGAAAGAGAAGGAATGAACAGGGGAGGGGCAGAGAGAAAGGGAGACAGAGGATCTGAAGCAGGCTCCATGCTGACAGCACAGAGCCTGAAGCGGGGCTCAAACGAACCGTGAGATCATGAGTTGAGCCGAAGTCAGATGCTTGACTGACTGAGCCACCCAGGCGCCCCAACATTTTGAAATAAAAAGTTGAGAGGAAAACATACTGTAAAAGCATACACCAGGACAAACATTTCATCTGGCAATATCAATCAAAATTTTAAGTGCTCAGACCCCTTTAACCTTCAATGCACTGCCAGATGTGTGTTCTACAGGCACAACATGTGCCAAGATATACAGGGATCTTCACTGTAATATTGTCCTAACAAGTACCCGGAAAGACACCAATGTTTGCCAGTGTGCGGCTGGGTATATACGTCACGGTACTACGCAACATTAGGCTGTCACTGAAAACAACAAGGTAATCTGCATGGACTCATGTGGAAAGATTTCCAAATTATATTAATAAATTGCAGAAAAATATGTCTATCACCATTCTGTTCATACCCTTTTTATTTTTTTAGCCTTTAAAAAAGATTTTATTTTTATTTTAAGAGGGTAGCTTTTTTTTTTCTTTTACTTTATTTTTGAGAGAGAGAGAGAGAGAAAGAGAGTGAGAGAGAGAGAGAGAGA